TTACTATTACTATTACTATTACTATTACTATTACTATTACTATTACTATTACTATTACTATTACTATTACTATTACTATTACTATTACTATTACTATTGTTGTTGTTATTGATATTACTATTGTTCCGGCAACTATTAACCTCACTGACTTAATTCTTTATATTTATTGCTATTCAAAGTTTACCCTCATTATGTTTTGGAAAATTATGCCTGCATGATGTTCCTATAGTATTATACGAGGTCATATGGGATTGAAGAAATTTCTAATCAAAACTTATTTACCACCATAGCCTTTCAGACCAAATCTGTGATTTTCCATACTCTGTTTCAGACCTCGGCCAAAAATCGATACCACATTTCGGAACTCTATAATTAGTACACGGCCGCAGCTAACCAGAAATGGCGACCACTTGCGTACAATTCGAGAAGGGCTACAAATTTGTCAATGCTGATGCAAAAAAATTAGTTCAGTCCTCGTAAACAAAATACCCAATGCCAAGCCAGAATGAAAAACAATCTATACCATTTTTCAGGCCAAAACATCTCAAAAGCCACACCATTTGCGGCTACACATACTCATGTAGCCCCTACAAGAGAGTAACCCCCCTCCCCCTGCCCAGAGTATTTAATTTTCGGGGATTTTAAAATTGTAGTCTGCGTCAATCAATGCAAATGAGCTCTAATGAAAGGTAATCTCATTTGTTACTGATGGCCACTGCTTATTCAGATGCTGTAAGTGTTGAGTTTGATTCGCATTTGGCAGTTTGTAAAATGAATTTCCATGATGTCACCCTTAAAACGACAGCTCCCAATGCTGATGCTCTGTTGCTTCGTCTCTTCACTTGCAGGACTGGAAGTCTGTTGATAGAGAGGCATTTACTATCCGCGCAAACAACCAACGTTCTTTCAAGTTGAAGGAAGCCATCAAAGAAGGAAACTACAACATCCTGATGCAGAACCAACCGCTGTACAACAGTGAGGCTCACACTTTTGAATCCTCGCACAATTTGTTCAGGTCTGCCTTCAGTGAGGGGTTTCCATGGGAACTGCTAGAGGTCTTTTCAGGTAATGATAAATTTACATTCAGCAAGCATCCTCCCCAGGATACTTGAATAGCTAAAACTGGGAAGAGTCTGGAGAGAGAAGGAGAGGGAGATTCTCCTCCCAGTCCCTTCTCTCTTCCATAAAGTCACCTTAAACCCGTTTTCCAAGTGAAATTTGACCGAATTCGAAATAATTGTTGCAACTCCTCATCGTAATATTTAGATCTTTACCTGTGTGTTTTTTTGTTTACGTTCACCTGAACATATCCAAAGTGCTTGCAAAAGATTTTATGACATCTATCTTCACGGCAAACACTGCCTCGTCCCCAGTCGCCCGCGTGATAGTAAAAAAAACTAATAAGGACCTGAGAGGCCCAAAGAATCCTTCCCATCACTCCCCGCGCTTACGCCCCTCACTCACTACCGGCTTCCGCTCGCGCTTTCTTGCTTACTCCCGTTCTCCCAATCGCTCTTTGCGCAAAAAGAAAAATAAGAAACCCTGTGGAAGAGGCAGCAGCCAACATGTCTCCACAATTGTTAAGGGTTCTGGCTATTTTGTCCCCTAGGTCCCCCACGAGTAGCTTTCTCTTGGCGCCACTGGGCACACTGGACGGNTAATTATTTGTGCTTTCGAACATGTTGTGTTCCTGTTGTTGGTTGTTTAATGTGAGAACAAGTTGCCATCCGTTCTCAGTACACGGACAGATAGACACGGACTTGGCATGAACAAAGACGAACAATTCAGTTCAAGAGAAAATTTTAAACTGGTCATGTGACCGGTAAGTTTGTATAATTTGACTGATAGGAGATGTTAAGCTTGACAAGAAGGCTAATGTGTCTAATTTTCCTTCTTTATATAATAAGACCGGAGTTGTTACATTTTTGCTTTGTTACATTTCGAGTTAAAAAAAAGTTGTTATGTTTTGTGTTAAAAAGTTGTTACAATTCGAGGTAAAGAAATTGTTACATTTTGCGACAAAGTTTGTTTCAATTCGGGTTAATGTTACATTTTGCATTAGTTGTTACATTTTGCGGTTACGGAGATTCCCCCCAGTCCTTTCTTCGTGGTGAAACTTGACAGAATTCAAAATCATTTTTGCAGCTCTCGTCGTAGTATCTCTTCACCCGTGTTTTTTAAGTACATATCCAAAATGCTTTCAGTTTCACCGTGGCAATAGATTTGATGGTGGCAAAAATTAGTTGATTTCTATCTTCACAACAAACATGTCTCCACAAATGTTAAGGCTTCTGGCTATTTTGTCCCCTAGGTCCCCCACGAGTAGCTTTCTCTTGGCGCCACTGGGCACACTGGACGGGCCCCTACAAAGGAAGGGCCCCGACGGGTGAATTACTGGAATTGCATGGAATGGCTGTGGCGGAGGTAGACGAGAATTTAAAAATCAAGTCGATCGATGTTCATTATGATCCTAATCAGCTCCTTATGAAGCTAGAAGGAAAGATGTAAATGATCAAAGTGCAGCCATTAGCAGAACTGACAACAAGTCATCATGTGCTAGCGCTGCTCTCTGTGTATTAAAATTAACTCTTAATTAAAAATAAGACTATTAGCTCGACATTTCTCTGAGGTGGTAGTTGATGAGACCGAAGACCGAATCAACTATCACCTCNTCCTAATCAGCTCCTTATGAAGCTAGAAGGAAAGAAGTAAATGATCAAAGCACAGCCATTAGCAGAACTGTCAAGTCATCATGTTTCAGTTATAACGTAGAATAGAATCAATCGCAAATCGTACGCTGCTCTTTAAACATTTTACTGGAAAAAGCATAGCCAAAAGTTAAGTCATACAACTGGCAAGCGACAAATCACCCAAATCTTTACTAACAGACCTTCCTGAAAATACTAGTCCCTAGGTCTCTTATTTCGACGCGGTCAATTCGTTTCGATGTCACGTGATGTGCTTCGTCCTGTTGACGTCACGGAAACAAATTTTCACGGAAAAGCTGCACAGTAACGCGGGAATTTTACTGTATATGTTTAATGGGTCGATTAATGAAGACTTGAAGGAGCTACCTCACGGTTTGTGTATCTTTAAAAGTTCAGCCTAAATTTTTCTACTTTGTTGTTTGTAATCCATGCCAGTCTTCTCCATCCCTCACCATCCTTGTTCCTTCATGGTTTATTATTACCTCTTTGGTGTTTTTATGTCTTAGTGAGCACTATTTTCAGGTTTTCTCCTATTTAAAGGTGACTGAACTCTTTTAATTTGCAATGATAATCATAAAGATGCACAGAAAACGTTCAGACAGTTGCGTTTCAGTCCGTTTATTTGCACTGTTTAGGGTACTATTGTAGAGGCTCAAACAATTCTTTACACTGGTACAGCTGAATGCATTGAAGACCGTACAGAGAAGAACTTCACTCGAGACTATTTCACTGACTAAGCAGTTTACAAACAGTCTGTCATTAACTCGAACCACATCACAATACCTTAATTGACCTTCCCAAACAATGAAGATAAACTGATTCTCGGGTTTACCGAAGAAGTTTTAACCAACTCGGAATTCATGTTTCGAATTTCCACTGTCGGATTTAAAAGGACGCTTTTTACGTAAGGCAATTCACATTTTCACATTAAATAAATTGTATCATAAATTACAAGCAAAATAAATTTCTATAATTTGAAAGGTGGCGAAGTTTACTTGTTCAAACTGTTTTTCTTCCTTGTCTAGTACTTTAAGTAAAATTACCACGAAATTTGTGCTAACAATGTCCATAATTGCCCACTTAAACCAGCGAATCGAAGAAGGCATTTGACTGCACTACCAAGAACTCATCCCGTTTCTCTTTACTTATGAAAGTTTCAAACCACAGTGGGAATTTAAATAATCGCCCAAATGAACACAAGAAGAAGGGAAGTGAACGATTTTAATAGTTTAGTAAAATGAAACCATCGTGCACATTGCCGGTTAATCAAAAAAAGCGTTGGAACTTCAGCGAAGGGAAAAAGGTCAACAGACTTAAATCTAGAAGGGGTAACTCATCAGAGAAACTGCTAAGCAACCATGTTCCCAGGGTGCAAAAGAGACAGAACCCTGGGAATGAGATTGGTTGCTAAGGAACCTGACTTCACAACTGATGTCATGTCTTCAGTTGGGAGAACAAGTGGTTTTCGTCACCATAGTTGCCTAGCAACATTATGGGTCCCTAAGAGTGCCACATTCGGAGTTCTCGTGAGTTTACGAAGAATAGTCAAAAAACGGCCCTTGTGCCCCCGATTGTCATGTCCTACTAAAATCCGAAACAAACAAACAGAAAAAAAAAAGCGAAAACAAGAAAATAAATCCGCTCTCCGAGTGTCGAGTAAATATGTCGATCAGCTAACAAGGAAGAAAAAAAACAATTTAAACGAGTTAAGTTAATTTCCTTAGCCGTGGTTTGTATTCTTCCAATCCTGCTTTCTCGTTTTCCTGCTGGCAAGCACTGATAAGCTCTCTGATGTCTTTCCGTATGTCGTCTGGTTCATATGGAGCGGTATAACGAGCCCTTGGCTGCCCCTTGTGATCAATCAACACCTTTTCGAAATTCCAGTTGATGTCGTTGTTTCGAACCGGGGACCACCTGATGTTGCTCAAGTCATCTATGAATCCGTTGGGAGTTGGACATCGGGACTGGAACAAAACAATTAAATCATGAAAAGACAGACGACAGAAAGCTGACAGACAGACATTGACTGATAGATTGACACACGAAAGACTAGTAGCAGGCAGGTGGATAAATAACTAGACAAGTGCAGATAGAAGGCTAGAATTGCGTGTTTTTTTTCTAGTTACGCAAGCAGGTCTACAACTGGACTTCGGACGAAACAGAGAACTTTCGCACGAGACTGGGTTTCAAACCCCTAACACAACTCGTAGCAAAATCGTACAGACAATCTAATCACAATCACAGATTCGCTGCATGTGGGTTCAACTATCAAAAAACGATCGCGCTAAAAAGCTCTGAAAACTCTGACAACCTGGGAGAAAGTCTGAATAAATACAAGTGTGGTTGTAACTTGTAACAGGTGCACAAATTACAAGTGAGCACTTCCTGTGAGACTAGACACAGAATTAGTCAGTATAATACGCCGATTCTTCAAAAGAATTAACACGGGATCATGAAAGACACTTGCTTTGAATTTCTAAACCATGCGAAAAACTCATTGCCAGCTTCCATAGAGCTGCAGCCATTTTAAATAGTCTAGTCTTACTGGTTGGCTTTCGCGCACGGGTAAAATTAAATTCGTGGGACTGTAAAAAAAAAAAAAGCAATCCGGCGTTTTATGAAGAGAACGTAGAACTGTGCTGGTGCCTCAAGTGTGTGCAAAAGAAAGTTGTAAGTCAAACTTTGGGCTTTACTCGGCCTTAACGTTCTTATGAAAAAAATATTACAACACAAAGACATGGAAAGTTAAACAGGAGCAACGCGGAAACACTTAATATTCAAATTTATTTAATATAAAGTCGACTCAATGCCAGCCTAACTTAAAAGCATATGTCAAGTGTCGTTTCGCCCTTCTTCTATGGTGGATTTCTGGTTCTGTGTTCTTCTATGGATCCTTAAATAACCGCGAACAACTTTATTTATTCAGTTTATTTTGTTGCTTGGAAGCGCGAAAGCCGTTATGCAAGGACAATAAAAAAAAGATTCCCCTTAAAACAGCTGAAGCATTACAAAAAGGCGCAATCTGTAAAGTACGTAGTTGATCCCGATCAGATTTCTGATCTTCGGTAAAACAAAATGTAAAAATAAAAGCTTGAGCTTACCTTGAAGAAAGTGTAGATTTCGTCCTCCTTGTCGCCATTGACGTCTCTCTTCTCAAACAGCGGGAAGTTCGGCACAAAACCATGACCCGGGCGAACATATTTGAGCCCGTTCATGATCTCGTATTGATTTTCCCCCGGCTCTTGGAAACCGAACTGGTTACACGGGAATCCAACAATTCTTAGTCCACAGGAATCTAAATTTCCACCTTCTGTTTCTTGTAATGCATTCAGTTTGTGGTATTGGTAGGTGAAGCCTCAAAAGGTCGCCACATTCACGGCCAACACAACATGGCCGGCAAATTGATTCATGGAGACCATATTCCCGTCTAGGTCTTTCGTGTTGAAGTCGTAAAACGACACATCGTTCTTTGTGTGGCACAGAGTACTCGATTTGATTCTTTCAGTTGAGCCATCTAGCTCGCCTACAAACAGGCAAAGAAAAGCGAAGAACGATCTAACGTCCATCGCTGGCTTCAATGAGCCGTAGCCAGCAGACCTTTAATTTGAAAGCGACCGAGAATTTTTATGTAAATGAATCCCTCTCACCAGCTGCTTCAATATACACCATAATAAACACGATAAAGGCAATTATCTTTTCACACTGTCTTCCAAATTCGGCGCATTTCATTTGGGGCATTAATGAAACCATAAAACCTTAGCACGTTTCTCTCGACCTGTGTAGATGAAAAATCTTCGAAAATGGAAGATTCTCTCTGGTGCGAAGTTGAAAAGGTTTTGGTTGCTAAATATTAATATTAAAAGCATTGATTGGTAATTCAGCATGAAAAATTTCTTTTTGTTGCAGAATGTAGCAATTCGCGCGCTTGCATAATTTGATTGACGCGCGCGATGTAATAAATTTGCTTTGTTTTGCACTGTGACCATGTTTTCGAATTAATTGATCACTCGCCTTCGGTCTCAACCAATAAGAATTCGTTTCCGTTTTTGTGTATTTTTCAAGGTTTGTCATGGTAGAAATTAGAATTTAAACTAACTTTATCCCCGCTAGGTTATCCCAATAAAAGACAAAAATTAACTTCGAAATTTTTTAAAAATTTCCAATTCCCGTAGCAACAGCAAACAAGAGGCAGTCTTTACAGATAAAACTTAATCCATCATGTTTCAAGTGCCAAAAAGTCTCGCAAGTTGGTGCGATCTAAATATTACAATTATTTAGCACGATATTGAACCTTAATTAAGCATAAAAACGAAAGAGTGAGAGACAACGTATGTTTATAACAAAGAGAAAACCAACACATGCAAAGAGAGAAATAAAGAACAATTATTCCCCGAAGTGGAGGTAAATATCCACTACTTTCACGGACACTGAGGTGAATGATTGTTTTAGTATATACCGCGCAAGTTGAATAATCAACCGATTGAAAATTTGCGTTATTTCTAACAATAAATGCGAAACGGGAAGCAATTTTGTTTTTCTCCGTTTCCATCAGAGGTAAATAATACCGATCTTGCCAATCAGAATGCAAAGAAAGCACTATTTACTCGTGTAGTATATAGTCAATATCAAAAGTTCCATATTACAGCTCTATACAGCCTAACAAATAAAAAATCACCTAAATAAACTAACATGCTGACGAAGACTTTGATCACGTTGTAAAAATACCGAGAGACTGCCCCACATTACAGAAAACACAAGTTTAATATTCCCACCACTCAACCCGACACTTCCGTTTCATTGGCTGTTTTTATACTAGAGGACGCATTATCCGTCCAGAAGGATAATGCGTCCTCGCCGTTTTTATACTTAAGACGCATTATCCGTCTGGACGAACTTGGGCAAACAAAGACGGGCACAAGACGCATTATACGTCTACACGAACTATCCTTCGAAATGAAAAAAAAAATAAAAAAATAAAAAAATAAAAATAAAAACCACAAATGTTAGCCCAATTTCGTCCAGAAGGATAATGCGTCTTTAGTATAAAAACGAGCACTACGAAATAAATGAAATTATTTCATATTGTCTACCTTAAACAATCTATCACTTCAATTATTTCTTTTTATCTACAATTCGAATGTAACTAGTAAGTATTTGAGCAGCTTGTTCCCTAACGTTATCATCTAGTGCAAGAAACATTTCATTTCCCAGTCGAACCTTAGGTATCCGTTCTCTCTTTTCAGCGCTCCTCTTTTTCACACCGAGCTTTTCGTAAAAGGCAACAAGTTCATTTCGACAGCCTCCGATAACTTCCTTCACCCCGAGACTGGAAGCCACTTGGACCGCATACGCACACATACTCTTCCCCAGGCCATGACCGCGGAGCTCAGGCTTCACAACAAGGGCAGATAACGTAACGTTATGGATTGGGTTTAAGGAAGGCGGCTGAGATGGCTGCAGCTCGTTGGAGTGTTCCGCGCTCAACAATGATGGATCTAAACCAGCTACTTCCATGGACTGTTGAACCGCAGCCAGAGGAAGTCCCATTTTAAGCATCCTTAGAAATTTATTCAAATCAGGTGGCCGAGAGGAGGAAGTCTCGCGTAACACGCAGTGAGCAGCAACTTGCTTCACTTCATTACTGGAAGCCAAAGCCAGCAAATGGCAAGGAAGCGTATCACGCGATTCCTTCAAGCTTGACACACGCACAAAGTTGGCTTCTTCGATACCCTCGGCAGTTAAGGGAACGGGCCATTCTGACGTCACAAGGGCTGATACCTCGTCTGTGTAATGGGGTACTTCGTGAAGTTTGTAGAGTTCCACATCGGTCATACGACGAACACGATGGCGGTTATACCACAGCAATGATACTGCTATGATCAAAATGCCTGAACCAAGAGGTACGCTGTAAAACACAATTAAAAATGCACCGACCAGAAACACAGCGACAGCCAAAAACGCTTCATATTTATCATCTATCATTATACACCTGAACTTGGAACAAATGTCGCTGAAGGACAAGAATAAATAAACCTGCCAGGCGTAAGTCACTTTGATGTTGACGAGATACTTCTTTGTGCTTTGTTGGCTCCAAGTTCCTGGAAAGAAAAAGAAAATTGAACAGTCGATGAAAAAAAAATGTCATTCAAGACTAAGACTGTCACCCCCATCTTCTAGTTCGTGAGTACATAATAACGCATTATCACGAGGGGAGAGATAACAAGGCGTAGCTGAGTTGATGTTTGTTCATATAAAACAAACGAGAGTTGTCTCATCGTTTCGAAAATGGCCTCGCAAACAAATAACGATCAATTTATATCGCAAATTGAACAGTTGTCTTCTGTTAAAGTACTCAGTTCCCATCTATCACACGATTTAAGAATGGCGTCAATAGTGGCAAACATGGCTCGAAGGCGTGTAGTCCATCTTTTCCGTTTCAATAAATACGGATGTAAGGCAAGTTGGCGGGAAAATCTTTGGTATCTGCAGACGACTGCATCGTGGCACGTGTACGCATTGCGGCCCTATCTGCCATGTGACATTGGCTGCAACGCGCTGGACCAACGCGTGAGCTTTTCAAATTCGCTACGGAGGTTGGTGATGAACTAAGAGCTACAAAAGTTTACTATTCCATATAATAACACACGGGGTTTTCATTTCTGCTCGTTAGCGACCCTCTTATAAAACGGAAATAACCTTTTGTTGTTTCCTAGGGACGAGGTTGGGCAAATAAGAACTGTGCCTCGTTTTTTGCCTATGCACTGTGTTATATTGGCTGAAGAAGTGAAAGAAATCTTGCATCTCGCGATGCTTCATTCTGCGGGTTCCTCTGTGTATATCTGTGTATTTGCAATATTTTGCAACGATTGTGTGCGCGCATAAAGCAAGATTTTTCAATCTCTTGCATCTGCCCGAAAAAGAGCCTCGTTCAAGTGGTCTCCGCCGACCAGGATAAAAATTGCATGCGGTCTTCAATTCAATCAGTATAACTTCAATTCAAGAGCTTAACTCTCTTGTTCAAGTAGACATAATAGATCTTTTGTCTACTTTTCCTGGAATAAATCAGACACTACTCTGACATAAACACGAACATTTTAAACATTGTATTGTCTTTGACCAGAGTTTTTAAGCTGCATGAGGTCTTCAATGCTACTCCAAGTCAAGAGCTTAACTCTTTTGTTCAAGTAGACACAATAGATGACAAAGATCTTTTGTAGCTTCTTCTGGAATAGAAGATACACAACTTCGATATAACACTACATTCAATACATTGTATTGTCTCTGACCAGAGAGTTTTCAAATGCAAATCGTATTATAAGACCAGTTGGGGGTTTTATAGACAGATACGAAAATGGCTAATTTAGGACATTTAGCAACTAAAGCTTTGTGGGCGGTTTAAATTATCAGTGGTATCTCACTGTTTGACACCATTGATGTTGATGCACAAGTTCTTCGGGCATGTTCAACACGAAACTTCTTGGGTCTGAAAACAGCAGCATCTTTATTTTTTAATTTCCTGGCTTGTCTCCGAAGGACAAGGAGAGTGCAACATTCGCTTTGCCACACGCAAGTTCAAACAGACATGTAAGATAGAGCCGGCGAGGTTCCAGTAACGGTAGACAAATGCTTTGAACCTTAGTACAATTTCAGTTAAGTCAGAACGAAAACAATACTTCTTTTGTATGCTTTGTCTACAGAGAAACTGCCCAAAGCTAACATAATTTACATTTCAAACTCCATCACAATATCGGCCAGAATTTTCCAAGGTAAAGTGTTCAAAACAAAGTTGGCGGCCTTCAAATAGTTACTAGTATGAAAGAGTCTGTAAAACGGCTTTGTGTGCGGTGGTTTGTAGACAGCGTTCTTTACCAGGTCATGATAGCGCAAAAGGATTGCTTACTGTAGACACTACAATGTTCAACACGAGATATCTTTCGCCGCCAGTTGCGTGCTTCACGTGTTTCATGAAATAATCTTTCTTTTAAAATAGCACTCAGTGTTCAGTTCACCCGTCTGGAGATGGGAGTGGTCTCTTTACAATTAAAAAAAGCAGACTGGAACATTGAAGCGAAATCGGCGAGGTTCACCGTAATGGCGTCTGTAGGAGCTTATTAGTGCATATAATGTTACCGTTTCGTAAAACCAAAGGTTGCATGCATGCGCATGTTCTTACGTAGCAACCACCATTGCAGACTCCCTGAGGCTAAAAGAACTTCCAGTAACCTGACCCCTGTCAATACACTGGCTGTAAATCTGCTCCCTATTTTATAATCTGCCTTAACGACACGAAAACAAGGAAAAAATATTGAGTCTACTGCAGGTAAAGACTATTATTGTTTCTCGCAGCTAAGAATATGTGAAACCGAGAGAAATAAGGGTTTAGGTCTCTTTGTAAGCTTCCTGATTTCGACATATCAATCTTCTGCCTATTAAAAGGGCCGGCGTCATTGAAAAAACTCAACTGACCGAAAAAATGGCCGAAATTTAGCATAACAAAATGATGAAAAATAAAGCATGTTTGCAACCCAAGTAGTTAGGTCATAACTAGTTGAGAAATATTAGTCTAAACTGTTTCTTACTTCCGAAAAATAAGAAACCGATACGTTAAAACATATTAAATTTTGCACATTTCTAGTATCCGGCTTACAGATGGCTCGAGAGATGGATAAAATTTAATCTTGAGCCTAATTAAAATAGTATCGAAGAGAGAACGTATTTCGATTATCCGTGGAAAGGGTCACAGGCACAACTCCATGCCATACATAAGCGTTCTCTCGACTTCCCAAAGTAAAGTTTGTACAAAAATATGTTGAAAATAGTCAGACCTTTTCCTGCGATGTAAAAAAATACCAGTAACAGTCTGTACCGTTAACTGTCCTCGCCCGAAAAAAATTAATACAACCAGTTTCCAAAGCCAGCTACAAAAAGCTCGAAAGACACGTGTGTGAGTTGACAATAAGAAATGGGTAAGTTTATTCCATGACTCCAAAAGCCTCAACAATGGAGAAAACGTGACCATAATGCAAATTACACAACTAGCTGAGAATTCTTAACTTGTAATTAATACCCTCATTTCCTGGATTAACAAGAGAATCAAACCTCGCGTGAATTAAAATTATTATTCTTTCCATGTTTACTCAAACTGGAGAAACCAGAGATCATTAATTCGTGATCCCATCCTATATCATTACAGCTCAGGGGGGCACCCTGTAAAACTTTGGGTAGGGGGGTGTGCTGCTGAGACACTGAAACCCTTTTCCTGTATTAGACCATGATCAGCTTAATTTTGCTACTGTATTCTAGACTAGACACCAAAAACCCCTACCCTATCCGAGACTTGCTATTTTCAATGCAGAAACTTTATCACTATCGACGTCCAACATACGCTAACTAAAGCAATATCTTCAACAGTCACTTCCTAGTCTCAATTTTTATTGTAGAACCCCGGGGTAAAGAACCCTACTTCTAGAGTAAATTATTTATACACTGGCCACTTGCCGATGAATTATATTCTATTTTAGACCAAAACTATGTGATTTCTATACCCTAGCCCAGACTTAACTGCCTGAAAACCATACCCCTCATGCTGGCAAATACCCACATAGCATATATATGAGAGTAACCCCCTGCCCCCCTCCGCCCGGATTAAAAACCTCCGAAAAATAACAACATTCGCCTCGGACATCACGTTTAATACTTTGTTACAACTTTGAGAACACAAGCTAATAAAAGCTTGTAAAAGAATGGAATATTTAACAGAAAATCAGAACAAAACTTCACGTCAAGCTGGGTTAATTTCGGCGCCTCCCACTCTCAGACTGGTAATATACTTTCATCTTCCTTGAAATTCCTTGTTCCACTCAAAGACTTGTTCTGTGGAAGCAAAATACACTCACCAAGGCAAAAATAGAAACCTTTTTTTTATTTAAGATGAAAATTTGGAGTAAAAAAAATGGAGAGTAAACTTGAATGTTTTTTTTTTATTTGCAATTCGATAGCTGAATTTTAGCATCCACTGCACAGCATGTTGACCTTTTATGTGCCCCAGGCCCAAGTTTTGCCTCTAGGAATATCGCTCAATGAGATATTGCCCCGATATTGGCCCCTGAACATTATATATTTTAGCTTTGAAAAGAACCAACGTGATTACGTAATAATCACTAACTTGCTTCTTCCTCCCGTTAAGTCTTCTTACAAACTGGATTTTTGCCAAAAAACAGGAAGTTAGCTGATCAGAACGGTCTTTTGTTTCTGGACTCGAGCCTGAAAAAATTAGTGTCGCGTGGAGGGCCACAAGCACTTCATGCATTTCCGGTGCCCTGGCTCCTTATTAGCTAATTGAACCCAGTCAAAACACACCAAAAAGTGCCTGATGATTGAACTTTGCAAAAAGAAACATAGTTTTTTTTTTCTGCTATTGAAAAATTCTCCTTGCAGGAATAAAAGCAACAAAGTCTTTCCAAAGTGAAAGTTTTTTTTGAAAAAACTGCCAGGCGTTGAACGTTAACGTCACGATTCACGACACTCACGAGGATGAAGTACGTCACTCACGAGAACCGGAAATGAGTAGCTCAAATTAAGACAAAACACCACAAATTTTTGTTTCTTAAAAGAGTCGCTTACCCGGTTGAAAAAAAATTAGAAATACATCCGAGAAATCAATCTTCTGCTCTCTCGCGCTCGCATAAACAGTGTTTCTTTGAAGGAGTAATCTGGTATTTACCCAACATGAAACCGGTTTTCAAATCTTGTTTCCAATGTAACGTCAACGGGTTATGTCAAGTTCATCGCGCTGATTGGTTGTTTTCGGCTTCTGGAAGCGCTAGCCAATCACATAGCGCCATGGGGAGGGTCAGAGAGGGGCGGTGACTAGGCGTAGAACACGCAAAAGAAAGGCAATGTTTATTTATCAATTCTCGTGGTCGGCCACCGTGATTGTCGGTTGAGTTTTTCTTGACTTTCTAGTGAGATTTTGCGAGAAATTACCGTTTTGGATAGTCAGGAGAACAATCGATAGTCATGGCCGAAACCAAAGATCTAAATTTGACGTTTTCTGGGTGTGGATTCTTGGGAATCTACCATCTCGGAGTTGTGTCGTGCTTGAAAGAAAATGCACCCGCGCTTTTGAAGAGAGTAAAATGTTACGGTGGGGCAAGTGCTGGGTCTTTTGCCGCGATAGCCTTACTCTTAGACTTAAATGTCAGTGACAGTGCTGAATTTGTTATCAGGCTCGCCAAGCGAGCGAACTCTTTGACACTGGGGCCGCTTCATCCAAGCTTCAATGTGGTGAGAACACTTCGTAGATCATTTGAGAGGATCCTGCCGGATAACGCTCACGAACTCGCTAGCGGAAGGCTTCACCTGTCGCTAACAAGGGTTTCTGATCTGAAAAACGTTATTGTGTCTGAATTCTTCTCCAAAGAGGACCTTGTCGAGGTGAGTCGAATGTCTCGTAGTAGAATTTCGAAGGGATAAGGATCTGCTCGCGATACGCGATGGCGAAATAATGGCCATCTTGCATGACGTTTCAAGTTGGCGACGAGAAATTTGACTGATGCGGATGTGTGTACAGAAGGCGCGCGTGGTGTTAAGTTAATAGATAGCCTCTAGACTTTATTCTAGAAGTTGATAAAGAAGATCTATGCTTTCATCTGGCCACCAGTTCGAAGCTAGGAAAATTTAAATCGGCCAGCCGCGTGTTTGAACTGAGCTTTTGTAATGTTGAGTTAATTACATTGCGCAATGGTGGTAATGTTCTTCCTCGAGGCTTCAAGCACGAATTTAACTCTGTGAAACTTGATATCAAAGAATACTAGGTTATTTCGCTTTTCTAAAGTAGAAGTCTGGAAGCTTTCATTCAACGTAGGGATGTTGTTTCGTGATGTTACCGTATATATGCCAAGATACCAGAAGCGCGTTTGTAAACTTGCATAATTCTATTGTCAGTTTGGTTTTTCTTGATAAATAATACAAACACTCATAGCGTCGCGTTTTAGACGAATTGTTTTGCTATTGGATAAAGTTTCCAGCTGGGGGACTGAAGGTTGAATTTTTCACTTTCTTTCCACATTTTATGGTTCCATTTTCAATATTATTATGTGAAAAGCTAATACAAAGCTTGTATAGGACTACAGGGGCTAGGAGTAGCAGATGATTTTGCAACAAGGTACTAGTTGGAGGCTGTTTGCTCCTCTCAAGTTTCTCAAATTATTCATTTACATGCATATTGTTTGAGCTTATTTGGACATCATGCTGTAAACCTAGAGTACGTGGTTCCATCAAAAAAAAAGAATGCAATCTCATGCTGAGACTAAAAGGAACTGCTATAGCGATTAGGGAAGTTATGAGTCAGCTACACAGCCAAACATTTTGTCTGATGCATCTTAAAATATTTCACAATAAAAGATGTTGCTATGTTTCACTGTCAATATACTGACAGCTACTTGTTGTAACGATGACGCAGCGACAGTTTGAAGCATTTTTTAAAATTCACACTTACCACCCCCCAAGGCCATAAATAGGTGTGCATTGCTCTCAACAGGAATCACTTCTCACATTGAATTGAATTCACAATGTTGGCGTATTGTGTGGCAAACAAAACTAAGGGATATTTTCGTAGCCTGCGGGCAATTTGAGGTTTCCACATTTCAAAGTCGTTATTTTTTGAAGTCTCTATTTTTGGCTTAATTCTAAGAATTTAAAATTTGGGGTGTGTGTGTATGTTTTCTTTATTTGTATGACTGAGTTTTGTTTTCAGTCATTTTTGGAACTTCCAGATTTGGCACGCCAGAACGAAACATTCTCTAACTTGAAATGATTAATTCACAACACCATACAGCTTTAATTTTTATCTTGTCCGGCACAGTCCTGATACAAACAAAGATTTTAATCACTTGCACAATCTGCCAATGAGCTGCTGTGAGGAGAAGCTAAGAACATGACCATATTAAATTCCATCATGCAAATTTCACAGACACAATCCTTAGTTTTGCCATCAAGCTGGTGAAACCTGTCAAAACCAGTTAATATTAACTACCAGTGTTTGTTGACAATAACTTTCAAGTGTTGCATCAATAAATTTAGTTGCACAAAGTTGCATGATTATATTGTCTACTACAATATGTGAATCCGACATCAGTTGATATTATCATCTTGGTCTCGACCTTGTAGCCACGGAATCTTAGTTATTGAATCTTAATCGCTAAATAAAGCCAATCTTAAATAGGTATTATAAGCACCAGAAAAATTATAATGGGTTCTTTATCTACAGCTTTGTGTAATATTTGGAATGGGTCATAGGCAAGCCATGTGTAAACAGCTTAGAGGCAAAAGAACGAGAGAAAAAATATTAAACCTTACCTGAGTAATGGCTGATCTCTTATTCTTGTTGTAGGCGCTAATTGCAAGCTCTTATGTTCCTTTCTACTCTGGAATCCTTCCTGCAAAATTCAGGGGAAAGGTAAATAATAAATGTTTATTTTTTCTATATCATTAAGTTGTTTGTTTACATTAAAATTCTTTCAGGTTCTACTTAGCAGGGATCAAGGGATAGGCAGGGAAGGGATCTAGACATCTTACAGCCCTGACCACTTCCCCCTCAGTCTGCAAAGTACATGTTTATCTACGTTGCAATGTTTTGTGTTATTTAAGATGGTACAGTGAAATGTATTTCTCAAACTCACTAAATAACATTCGTCAACTTCAGACAAGGGAAATCATGACCGTGACGGTGTTTGGATATCTGATCTTAATTAGCATAGATTTGTACGATTTTATGTCTCCTTTGTGTTTGATATATTACATCTAAGGCGTAGGTCGCACTAGAACGAATTTTGTGTCTGGTTGGTCCAAATGACCCAAAAATATTGACACTGACCAATTTTTTGTGGGTTTGTTTCCGGTCACACATGAAGCCACACAACAAGGCTAAATTTGTGTGTAAACACTGATAAAATGCTATTGTAAACAGTACTGTGCATCCATTTTCTTAAATAAACATGCAGTTGACTTGTCTAATGAAGTTTTGTTTTCTTTGGGCGATTTTGGAAAAATCTGCCTGCCCCACCCATACACTATGGCATCTTTGATCTTTTTGCTCATAGGGGTCGCATTAGGAAAAGCTCCAATTTGGCCCAATTTTTGGTAAAACAAACAGAATTTGCTCTAGTGTGACCCCCCCTAACTCTAGAAAACATTTGGAAAATATGTATCACAAGGTAAATTGAAAACTGCCTTAACTGAATAAACACTGTACAATCAATGTATGTTGAGTTGAAAAGTGCTGTTGTTTATAAACTAAGTTAAGAGATTTTATTAATATGTGACTGTGTGAATTTTGTTTTCAGTATTATGTGGATGGAGGCATTTCTGACAATCTGCCACAACACTTCAAAGAAGGAGATACCATTACAGTGTCACCATTTAGTGGTGAAAGTGACATCTGTCCCAATGACAGCTCATCAAACGATGTCCACATTGAGCTACGAAATACCAGCATGCAGTTTACACTTCAGAACCTGTACAGATGCTCCCGTGCATTCTTTCCTCCTCAGCCTGAGGTGCTGTTTGACATGTGCAGGCATGGCTACCGAGACACACTGAGATTTTTGAAGCAACATTGTAAGTGGACATGACGTTTTTCATAATTTTTGTACTTGTAGTATTCATGCCAAAAGAAAAACCGATGACAGAGTGAAACAGTGCAAAAAAAATTAATTTATCAACCGTTCATTGATTTAGATCCTAAAATGCTAAAGAAAGGGTCCATCAAGAGGCCATCCATGTCTCAGTTCTTCCCTCCATCTTGGCCGAAGTCTGGTGATGGGATAGACGGAGTTGAAATCTTGAGAAGCAGTCCCATGTCACTTTACTCCACATGTAGTAGTGAAGAAGCAGATGTATTTACCAGCTCAGATAGTGATGATGCTGAAACTGACGAGTCAACAGAAATCGAGCAGGAAGGGGAATCCAAACTAACTATCAGTGAGTGGAGACATTTTCCCAGTTCTTTCACTATAAGTACTTCTAGAAGCCTGCCTATACTTCATTCATTAGTTTAATTACATACACTTTGATGGTGTACAATTAGCATTATTAATGTGGGAGGCATAGTAGTGTAACAAGTGGCATGTTGGACGTCATATATAGCTGTCTGACCACTTCCTGTAGCTTAAACCAGGTGTGCCCTGGTCGTATATGACTCTTATCTCAATACAGATGTATTTTACAGCTAGCATTTACATGAGCTATTCACAGAAATCAGCATACTAAACACACTGTGTAAAGAAATAAGTTTATTCTGACTGAACTAACATACACCTGTAATTTAATAATTTTTCATTGATAATGTATATAGATATCATACAAAAATCAATAGTCAAATTAATTAAGTTGCATTTTTATCAATTTCTTTTCCAGTTCTTCATCGTACAAGCGAAGCAGTAACAGAGGCAGAGCTCTGGTCTTGTTACTTTATCCGCAGAGTTTTCTGGGTGCTAAAGCTGGCAGCAAAACCTTGTGTGATTTCCCTGAAACAAATCTCACAACTTGCAAACATGTAAGGCAGCATCTGACTTACGCATGCTCTGTAAAAATGTACCTTTTTGCTTCTACTCAAGATTTGTCCTTGTTGGTGAGAATTCTTTTAAATACCTTCTTTTCTGTTCTCCAGCATTCTGGAATCATTGCCCAAAGTGGAAAAGACAGGAAATGAATATCTTGATGAGCTGTTATCTATGATTTACATGGTCATTCATACATACCAGGACAAGCACCAAGTACAGTGCTGGTCAGTATAGTAGATTATTAATTTTTTATGTATTTAGATTGAACACTTCTAGTTCAACAACATTGCTGTAGTTAGTATTTTTTACTCTGATGATTAAGCATTTGACTTTTTACTTAATGTAGGAAAACATATGGACCAGCCATTACTGCAGGACTTCGACAGGAAGGTAAGGTGGTTTTGTGTTGTGGTATTCGCTGTAGGGTAGACAAACTAATAGCCAAACATACCTAACCAAGATTGATATTATTCACTTTGATCTCAGTTAAAAATAATAAAGAAAAAAATTCTGAAACATCACATCAGGTTGTGGGAAAATATAATTGTTGCAATGTTGTCCATGGTGCTGTACAAAAAAAAAAGGAAGCTTGATATTCTGCAATTTGATCTGAAAAGATTTCCATGTCTTTTTGCAGATGGTTCAGGAATTAGTTCAACAGATGAATCACCAAGTTCTGGTGACAATGCAATGTATTCCATCCCTGAAGAAGTGGAAGAAACAGGAGAAACACCGGCTTGTTCACTGATGCCCTTGAATTCAGATGATGAAAGTGACATTGAAGTTCTTGTGGGTCAATCTGCAGAGTGCTTACTGCAAAGTGCGATGAGATGGGAAGATGATGTTAGTGACAATGCTTTCTTTTTGAGAACAAAGGAAGCAGGCAGTGATCGAAGCATAAATAAATCTGTGGGAAGGTGGGAGTCTGAAGGAGGAGCTTGTGGAGAAGAGCCAGCTTCGGAGAGCCTTGATGATTATGTGCTTCTAGATGGGTATGAGAGTGATGTAGAATCTGAGTCAAGTGGCTATGATGAGCTGCACTAGAGCCTCTAACAAGACACTTTGGTGGCAGTGGGATCTATGTTGAACTCTGCTTAAAAGATGAGCTGTCCTTGAGCCACACCCAACTTTGGTGTATGATTTGGACGCTACAGTGCAAATCAGAAAAAAAAAGTGCAAAGGGCAAGGGTAAACCAATCCTATTTTATGATGAACTGCAAACCCTGATGGTACGCATTAGATTGACCTGTAATGTGAATGGCTTTGGTGAAGTTAGCACATCAAAAATTATTAAAACAAAGTGTTCATGTTGCTTGGGTTCAGACAGTAAGTTACAGTCCCCAGTGTTAACTCTGACAAGCACAGCACTTCCGAACACTAAAGAACTAGGGTGTGGCTCATGACAATATCTGTGGTCTAAAGTAGGTTGTACGTAGATCACAGGATAAACTATGCTTGCTAAGAAATGAGAAGCTGCTTCTTGAAAGGAGTAATAGAATTAATGTTACATAGTTGCCTGGTAGCTTGGAAAAGGAATATTAAGGAGATTTTTTTTATCGATTTCAAGATAATTGTTTTTCAGCATCACATGCAGTAAATTACTGAATTACAGAAGATAAGAGGTATTTTAAGTGTCTTAAAGGAGACTGAGATCATGTAGTTTCCTTAGATGATAAATGAAGAGTATCCAGAAGATCTACAACCACATGTACGAGCCCCTAAATTCTCGCATGTAACATTTTGAAGAAATAGATTGTAATAAATAGGGGGAATTAATATGCAAGTCTTGAGACTTTAAGGGTTACAACTGATCTACAATTGTACATAAGACACATTATTTAACTATTTTTTTATTACATGGAAAGTTTTAACTTATTCAAATGCAGAGAGTCCATCATTAACCAGCTGTGGGTATGGCCGACATGTAACTTGTTATCAATGAAAATTATGGCAAATGCATGCAGGCATGCAGTTTTAATCAAAGGAACAGAACATGTGTTCAACAAGGGTAATTACTAGAACATAAGATCTGATTACTATGGCAAAATTGTTTTGATATTTCCTTGTCTTTATCTGAACAAAATAAACCAAGACCAGTTAGGTAAGAAGAATCTGTATATGGACAATTCAGGACCTTATGCGCTTATACAAATGTACAGAACAAAATAATGAGCAGACTTATGGTTGTTGTGCAAGCAAGTGGTCACTGTAAAGTTTAAAGCGGTAAAACAGCTTGTAGAGGGTGCTTTTCATAGATATGTTGTTTGATCGCGAAATTGATTACAATTTTTCAACATGAATGGTCCATTCTGCTTGCAATCAAGTTCCATTAACTAGCTTTAAGAGAACATTTATTGAAACCAGTAAGGAGAATTTTTTATGTTGGCATCTTGTACGGTGTTTGTAGATAGTATTGCTGGGTAAAACGGTTGTACAGAGATTTTTGAATTGGATGAAACACAGAGGAGCGGTTTAGTTTGGACTTGTACAAATTTATTTTTATTATGGTATTTTAGTGTAATGTTATATTGTAAAAGACTATAATTACTTGAATTTCAATTTTCACGTGCAGCAATTTAATATTGCCTTGAAAATTAATTATAGTATCACTTAATATTAATTTACTAGTTTATTTTATACATAGTAAATTAAATATCAAAAGCTAGTATTTTCATGTGATGTCCATGAACAGGTATGTTTGTCAAATTGTGTTTTATAGACAATAAAAGAGATAATAATTTGAATCAACTGTGGAAGAGGTATATGTGTTGAAAGACGCGTCTTACCCCGATACAAGCCATAAATATAAGAATCTTTTCTGAAATTAGGCTGTAAAGTTTCCCCTTTTGGGCCCCTTTTTGGTTTGAAACACTCTACAATAAACTACTGGAGGAAGATGTTTATTTCCTCTTACTAGAAACGGACGACATTTTGCTCGCGAGGGCTTATTATGCAACCGTGATTTGGATTCAAATGTGTCGGATGTCCCAGAGGGACCCATAATCCCTCTGTGAGTGTGGTGCTAAAAAGGTACCGATTGCCACGCAGATATGAATAACCCGCAGGCTGCTGCTCTCCCATAGGGGAATGTTGCCTTAATACTCCTTCCAAACCTACAATCCCAGGTGCGAAAACTCAAAATCTAAGTGTTTAGCTTAGGTAATTCAGATTATTCCGCTGATAGGTGGGAGCTTCGGGAGTTCTGGGGTTTTCAGTAACTTTGAGGCCACCCAGGTCAGCTTTTGAGGTTTGAGATTCGCGCCCTTTTTGACCGGAAGTTTAGGTGACCAGTCAGACGCGAAACGTGAGGGTCGCTGAAGGTGATTTCCGGTCACATGCGCAAACATGATGTCACAATCGCCAGAATCAATGACGAGCAAAAAATTTTTTTTGTTAACAAAACTGGCAGTAGCTCTAGCAGAATATTTCTGAGAGATGGAAGATACTCAAGACTTGAACCTTACTTTTTCCGGCTGTGGATTCTTGGGAATGTACCATATCGGAGTGATGTCTTGCCTCAAACAAAACGCCGCCGGCTTTTTGAGAAGGGTGAAATGTTTCGGCGGAGCGAGCGCAGGTGCCTTTGCCGCTGTAGGTCTTATCGTTGACTTGGACATTAGCGAGGTCGCCGAGTCAGTTATAAGACTCGGAAAGAGAGCAAAGTCTCTTTCATTAGGACCACTTCATCCGAGTTTTGAGATAGTCAGAACTATTCGGAGAGCTTTTGAAAAAATGCTACCAGAAAACGCACATGAACTTGCCAGCGGCAGATTGCACATTTCATTGACCCATGTCCCAGATTGTCAAAATGTCATTATATCCGAATTCTACTCCAAAGAAGATCTTATTGAGGTAAGCTACGTTTGATTTTCTTTTAATAAGAACAAAATCCAATCTGTGATTCTATCAACCTGTTACAACGAGTTTGTCGTAAACTTATAAGCTTTTTCTAGTAAACTTATTTATTTTTGATACTCATATTGACCACACAGATAAATCGCACAAATGCACATGTAGTTTTTTTTTAATGGGGCTTGTTAAGTTTCCAGGGGGACTTTCTTATTGTGCAGGAACGCAGACAAGCTTACAAACAAGCATTCATAGGTCTCCATTCCTTTCGAAGTTTCTTTTGGCTAACAAATTCTTTTTTAAGGAGGCTGTTAATGACTTATGGTTTGTATTTGCTGTATTTACATAACGACAATTTGTTGATCAATTATTCATCACTTTGCGGCTTGTCAAGCTAAGCCAAGCCAAGAGTCTAGTAAAGGTCAGTAAATAGC